TCATTGACTATTTTTCCCCCTCCAATCTCAAACGTTACTCGGGGCTCCGATACTTGTGCAACGGGCCATATAAAAACGCTGGCTGCGCAGTGTTGATAGCTGTGATCAGCTGGCGCGCTTTAGCTTTCAATAGATCACGCTATTAAGCGCTGTTGGGCGTCTTTTCTAAAAATTAAGGAACTTCATATTTTAATTCAAAATTTGGATACATACTGTTTCGAAGATATACATAAAAGGACAATCCACCCCTGCTGAGACGACCTGTTAAAATATGACGTTATGTAAGTGGGATATTTGGGATCGTTGTTAAAAGTGGCAATTAATTTGTTGCATAGTTTTGTATTGCAAAATTTATGTCGGCCAAGTCGCTTCCATTGTTTTTAATCTACCGGAATTGATATATTTTGAATGTAACCATTTATTTTTAATAAAAACGTTATCAATCGCTGAATAAATGGTTCATATAATATAACTCAGTAGTTTGGTTATTAGTATCACATTTTTAAAAACTTAATTTTAATACAAGTTATACTTTAAGTCGACTATAATTCATATATTTAAGGACCGGCTTTGGTTACTTTGGATCATTAGACATAAATTCCAAGGCATTAAGGGTGGATTGACATGAAATTATCTATATTAAGATAGTCTCTAGTCCTTAGCTACTAACAATTATAAATGTACATAAACAAAAGAGAATTGTGTTGCCCTTTTACAATTAATGAAGGAATTTTAAAGTGCATTTCTAATAAGAAGTCCTAATCTTTTTTTCACCTACATGTTTCAGAGTTACTTGCTTATTCAAGTTTTTTTTTTTTAACTAATACTTTGCATTTTGCATGAGATGTCTATTTGAAAACATTTTAAATGTTCCATGTTGTACTAAAAATTACAAAAGCTCTAAAGATTTGAAGCATTTGGAGATGATGGGGGCATTTTTATTTTGCTTATTTCAGGTTTACCTTATTGCGATTAAAAACGCAAATTAATATATTTGGCAAAGTTATTAAATTTATCGTTTTCTTGTGCGTTTAAAACAAATAAATCAAACATTTTGAATAATAGGACGTGCATTTCCAACCTGGAAGAGATCAACATACAACTAAGTTTAAAATTTACAAACGGGAAGATGTTTTTAATCTGCAACTCGATTAAGGGTTGCAAGAGCTCAGGAATCAGAACCACGAACATTTTCCAAAATTATTTAAGACAGTTTCTTTTGAGACTAAAAGATTTGTTTATGTCTTAAATATTTCTACTTTTAGCTGGACACAGGCACATTCTGTTTGCTGTGGCTATCAAAATTGTATAAAATGTTTTAAAGTTTGTATTTGAACGTACTGGAACAATAATATTGATAAGGATGGTGTTTCGTTTGATAACCCTAATTTTAAAAAAAAAATATTCAGAATTATGCTTTCTTCTTTGCGTTTGGAAGATTTGTTAATTTTAGATTGTAACGATCTATTTCTACTGAACATTTTGTTGATTTATCATTTATATTTGAAAAGTAATTTTTTAAAATTCACATTGATGTCGACAAATATCATTCATTTTTTAAAATTTCAAATAGCATTATTTAATTATCTCTGCATTATTTAAATAATGAAATACATTTGGATTTCCACTCTCTGTTTGTACTGAAAGATTCATTGCAAGAGCTTAATAAGATTATAAGTTGTGTATTTAGATGTAACAATGTCCCGGCCTCTTCTAGTATTACATAATTTTGGGTAACTGCATTTTACTTATTTTTAAATTATCATTACTTTTAGATGGACAGCGTCTGTTGATACTAACAATTTTATAGCAATAGTTTTATAGGTTTAATAATTATGTAAGTTTTAAACAAAAAATAAATTGTTTGACAATTGTCGTTATGCACACCATAAATCAGATTATATAAAATATCATAATTTCATTCCTAATTCATTTGATTTATTTTATTAAAATTTTAATTGTAAAAGTCTTCTAAAAATTTTGAGAACTCTAAATGTAATAACTTAAAGATATGAACAAAATCGTAGAAAAATAGTAATAATTCCAAAAAAGAATAGATATCTTTGTTACATTTTTCTAAAAAATAATATTATATTTAAAAAAAAAATATTTTGAACAATGCTTTTAAAAAATGTGATTTCATTTTCAGGGAGGTATTAAAATAAATTATATAATATAAATTGTGTTATGAATATACATTATTAAAAAATTAGTATACAGCTAGAAATATTTACTTTTAAGGTAATATCAATGTACTGTAGAAAAGTAATTAATCCAATTTAAAGAGGATCTGCAAAAAAGTTATACACACTCACTGGACGCATAAACTTCATTCAAGTCAAAAAGCTTTTTTACTCTGGTGATACTAGAAAATATTATTGTTTATTTTCAGGGTAAGATTTTGAAAGGTAACTTGGTATTTTCATTTTTATAAATAGTAATGCATTTTTAGGATTTGTCATCAACGCACTGACAGGTCGAATCTATCTAGTTCTATTTCATTTTATCATTTGTTTTCATGAAATCTTATTATTCTTGATACATAAGTCAAAAAGACGGCAATTTTATAAGTGAGCGTGGTGCGGCTGTGCATAATTTTCTCCTTTCATAAATAAACTATAAATTTACTATCAAGAACAGTTTGTTACCTTGATTTAGCAAGTTTGTGATATTTTTTACTTTTTTTGTTTCCTCCATTGCCAAAATCGTCTGGCTTAAACTGAGAGTTGATTTAATTTCACCAAGCGATATCATAAGTGGCTTTTCGAAGCTATATAAGACTGGGTAATTTTTATTTAAAAAAAAAAAAAAGACTTACGCTTCTCTTCTTCTTCTTCTTCTTCTATATCTTAAGGGCCCACGATCAATTTATTGATCATTTTGGCTCCTATGCATGTAGATGGGATTTGCAATGTTTCTGTTACTGCCAACATAATTCTCTTAGTGCCAACCCAAAAGAAATCAGGCACGACTTAGCTATTCTCAGGCAAGAATTAACTTTTGTCAAATATATTATCAGATGTGAATAAAATTAATTTAAATGTTAATGTCAAGATTAAAATTATTAAACGCTTCAAAATTAAACACATTGTGTGATATGCAAGCCTGCTAGACCTAGGATGGAAAAGGGATGGGTGTAAAAGATGATAAGGTTAGTAGCGATTCTAGGAATTGGTGTTACCCAGTGTAGTCAATCTATTGTTTCCATTAATCTTTATTAAACTTTCCCTTGAATTTCACTGAGTCTTCTTTCCCTGTTTACAATCTCCTCTGATGCCATATTTTGTCTGTTTGCCAGCTGATTGATTTACCCTACTTACTGGAGTGAGAAACTGCTCTTGTGGCAACCTGCTGTGTGGAGACCATTTTTTTTTTTGCAATTTACTGTGGTAGCATTCTGTTCTAATGGCAACTTTAAGAAATAAAATACAATAATTTCCGAGTTTAGTTTTGAAAATGTGGGATAATTTCGTCTTGTCATTACATTCCTTAGACGTCTTTGCTAACTTTTATCTTGAAAACAAATGGTAACACAGGGTCCTAGGAATGGTGCCATTGAGCCACACGGCTGGTGGTCGAAAAAAAATTGTGAATCATTTCTTTGGCTTCTAAAATAAAACTGCATTATTTGTTTCTATTGGTTTTGGTGTGTTTCTTTAGTTCAGTGGTGATTAAAGCAATAACCATAATATTGTCAAATATCTTGTAAAAAAAATTTTTTTTGTTGGCAATGAAACGAAAACAAAACTGTTTATGAAGAAACTAATTCTTATTTCATTATATATTATTTTTAAGCAAGCAAATGTGTGAGATGTATGGCACAATGTCTTGTAAATGTTTAATGTTGAGAAATAAACATACCTAATGTCTGAACCATTAAAACATGCGGAATATTTGTTCACTCAAAAAAGCGACAAACCAAAGTTAAAATATTTCTTGGTGATCCCTCCGGGTTATCGGAATTTTTCAAAACACTCTTTCCTTGTTGTTGTAGAAGTGCTTAGCTACAAGAAATATTTTAAAACATTATGTCAATCCCTTCGAGTCTGCTTCAATTCGTCCATTACCTCAAGACAGCAAGTATTGCTAACAATGATGATATTATAACTAATTCGCAAATTTTGTTTTACTTTTGATATTTATCTTTTTGCAATTTAAGGTTACATTGTATGGTGCGCTACATATATCCGCGTTTTGATGAGACTAATTTGAAAACATGCTTGAAAAACTAAGGCTCATTTGAAAATGCCATTTTATATTAAGTCAGTTCAACTCACAGCGTGTAGCTATGTATAAATTAAAGGATTTAAATATACGCTAGAAATGGCTCTTGGACATGAGATCAAGTGTTTTTCTTTCTTTACTTGTTGTGTGTGAATATAAAAAAAAAATTGTAATTAATTACCGTCGAATCTAATTTGATGCGGACGATCAACAGTCTATCTTCATTTATGAGCACCAGCGTCAAGTATAAATGTCGCAAATTATACAGTGACCACCACCCACCCCCCTTTTTTAATGGTATCACATCACTGACTTTGAGAGTCAGTGTTTTTGTAGGTTAAGCTCTACATATAGGTAATTCATTTTCTAACAATATTAAACTAAAAAATTAGAGGTATCATTTCGGATTAAATTTATAAATGTTCAAATATGTTATAGTTCAAATTTGTACTGGCATTTTTGTTCTTTCCTTTTTAGAAGATTACCCTGTTGGCTGTAGTACGTGTGTACCTAAAACATATTTCTTTGCTAAAATTGGAGAGATGTGTACTGTAAACGTTTGTGTCATGGCCAAGGAACCAATCAAAGACGGGATATTTCTAAACAAGATTGAGTACGATATTGGCGACACAAATCACCAGAGATCAATGTTCATCCAATGCAGCAGTGAAGCTACAGAGTACAACAATATAACAAAAAATACAATTAAACTTCAGTTTTATGTTGAAAGGGAAAACTTCACAAAGTACGAGCTCCATGTGTTATTCGGAGATGATGCTTGGAACTACACGTTTTATTTGTTGGATGATGATGGTAAGTTGTAGTGGTTTACATTTATGTTTTTAAAAACGTTAAAATAAAGTAATAATTAAGAAAAGTAGTAAAAATCGTCTATAAGATATCCTTGTAACTAAGAAATACACTTTTTATAATAAAATAAAAATTATTAACATAGATTATAGCTTTTAGACCTTTTATGATTGCTTTGCCCAACAAAAGAAAAACTCATAATTTTACATTCTTTTTACATAAACATTCGTAACTTTCAATAAATATATTTTAAATGTGTCAATTTAAATTCTAATGTTTTCACAAATATAGCTGTATAGCTTTAGATACTAAACAAAAAACATCTTTGCCTACCGAAGTTATACTTTGTAACGAATATCATTACAGATTTGAATAATGTGAGGTGTAAAGATGGGACAACAGAAAGAGAGACAAAGGCTTACATTAACAGCAACTTCTCATTCTGTATGAGAGTGTTTGGTGGATTGGATAGTCAATTACTAATCAACAACATATCTTATCCTATTGATCCATATTGTAAAAATGGAAAGGTGGAAGTAGTTCAGTACTTTTCTATAAACACTTTAATCTGTCATCTTGTGATTTACATCATCAATCTAACGATTGATGACTTCATAACCTACAACGTTAGCCTGCCATCTATGGATAAAATGTTCAAATTTACAGTGGCAATGGAAAAATGTAAGTCTATTTCATATAATGTATATGTATTTGGTGTTCTTTAAATATTGCAATAACACATCTTAAATGCTGAAAATATTTTTTAGGGAGTTTAAATATATATTTAAAATGACAATCATTTAACTTCAAAAAGTATATAAACTAATCACAATTTGATACCTAAATACACAAAATATGGGGGTTTTTTTTTATTTTTTTTTAAACATACTGTCATCTTCATATTTATTAAAGGTTGTATATCATGTTTTTTTTTTTAAATGATTTTTCTTTTCAAATAAATACATTCATTTTTTTCTCAGTTCCAATTGAAATAGAATTCTATGGTGAACAGATGGAAATAATTATAGACGGTAAATCACTGTCAAAGAAGGCTACTTTAGGCCAACAACTAATTTTGACATGCAAAGTACACAGTACCGTTTCTTATCTTGTGAAAACTTATGTAACATTTCAGTCTGGGCCTTTGATTGAAACATACAATGAAACAATTGTAAGGTTTAGAATTGAAAGATTCGAATGCAAGGATGTTGAGACATGATGATAATTTAAAAAATATGCCTTTACATTCTTGTCAGATCCACTTGAAATAGAATTCTATGGTGAACAGATAGGAAGTCTTAGAGACGACAAATCACTGTCAAAGCAGACTACTCTAGGCCAACAACTAATTTTAACGTGCAAAGTGACGAGAACCGTTTCTTACCCCGTTAAACTCAATGTAACATTTCAGTCTCGGTCTTTGATTGAATCGAACAATGAAACAACAGTAAGATTTAGAATTGAAAGATTCGAATGCAAGGATGTTGGGACTTATGCCTGTATTGCGGACATGGATTTTCAACATTCAAAAACAGAAATCCCGTTATATATTTCATCATGTGAGTATCATTTACATAAATATATATTTCATTAGGCATATTTTCATTTAAAAAAATTTTTGCAAGCAACTTAACAAAGTAATTTTTTTTTTTTGTAACTCAAAATTGTCCAGATTTCTTTGCACAGGAAGCAACATTTTTGAAAATTTGTTTTTCCTAGGTTTCTTAATTGCATTATTTTAAAACATTATTTTAATAGTATACATTATTTACGTGTATGAGTTATAAAGCATGTTTAGCTCGTATGTTATTTACTGATAATTATTTATCTTTTACTGACCTCTATTACATATTTTTTCTGAAGGAATTATTCATTATTAAATTATATTCTCGTTTTGATACATATCAATGGATATTTTCTAATATCCTTTTTTATAATATTGTAGATTTTTATTTTCAAAATATTCCTAAATAATAATGTATTTTAAAAAATCAAATTCAGATAAATTTAAACAAACACGATTTTATCGTATGTCATTTCCGAGTGTTTAAAAGTGCTAAATGCAAGCCCTCACGCGTACTAAATAATCATTTTCATTCTAAGAAAAAAAAATTGTAGGATTATTTTACTTTATAAAGGTGGAAAAGCAGGCTGAGAATCGAGGAACACATACATTTCATATATTACATTTTTGATAGTGTTACCCAGTCGTATTTATTCATTTTACCATAAATTAAGCTGACCCTTCATAGTTTTCCAACATATATTAAACACACTAAAGATTACATTTTCTAACACTAAATTATAAATATATTTTTTTACCAAATTTAACAATCTAATACCTAAAATGTTTTATTTTAAAACCAAATGAATATTCAATCATTTTAATTATATTTTACCCAAATTTTTAGTAATAGCTACAGGTTTAAATGCACAGAATAGCCTCATTTAAAACTTAAACTCTCCGATCCTTCTATGAATAATTTCCATCCGAATTCCACCCCCACCTCCATTACCGGCACAATCATCCATGTATACGGTAACCATCCCACACTTAATTTCTCAAACCATGTTCAGCTTCTGAAAATTTCTACAACAACTCCGTAATTTAAATGCTTCTCATTCTACGCTCTGTTTTTCTCATCTTCATCTGATCTACACTCTGTTACTTAACCTCCTCTAACACTTCCTCCTACCTATTTTCTAACGACTTCCTTTTAAATATAACATATGATCTTACCGTGACCTATTACAAACTGACCATTGCCTCCTCATACGCCAACCAAAAACATACTAAAAAAACATTAACTTCTTTCTGTCTAATCAATACTGGTCGATGCTGTAGTAATTTTTTTTTTAAAAAAAGCCCTTCTTCCTGTGCCATGTTCTAATACCGCATGTACACATCCATTTCCGAACACTTTACCAATTTCACACTCGAATTACAAATAACATTACCGTCCGTCATGCCCCATTAATTAACATGGTCTGACCACACTACCCAAACCTAAATCTAGCACACACCATGGAAATTGGAGTCAATATTTACCCATCCCAATAATTTTTTTGTTTATATTAATCCTGGAATATGCTCTATATTATCTTCAGGTGAGCCAAGGTGGTGTGCGCTAGAAACTCGTATAAATTTTGACACGGCCGCAGATAGAAGAGATTTCATTGTACCATTGTGTATATTATCATACAGTGATGTGAATTTTACGTTTACAGTCAATGGAAGAGTTCTATCAAGTGAACAGACCAGTAAATTCAGATATGACAAAGTTGGGTATGACAATAATACAATGACATATAGGGCAACTATCATTGTAAAAGACATATCACAGGAAGATTATGGTGATTACAACGTAACATTAATTCAGTCTGGTGTTCCGAACGTAAACTTGAATCTGTCATTTCACATACCAGGTATGCCTTTTTTTTTTCTAAATGAGTGTGTGCATTTAAATTAGTGAAAATAAAATTATTGGACATGTTTTATTTGGTTCATTTTGTTTAATAAAAAACAACAACAAACATTTACTTTAATTTTATGTTCAGAACAATAGAATACATTGACATTTACATATTTACTCTATCTGTCATTTGCACTTTTTGTTGTTTTAAACCACTTCCTTACAGATGACGTCTACGGGACGTCATGAGTAACCCACTTTCAATTACCAATGACGTCAACGTGTCGTCTGGACCAAAAAGTGAAAGCACTTTTCTGAAATACCAAGGGCGTCACGTCGACATCAAATTTCAATGCTATATATATTTTCTTTTTCGTTTATATATATAGAGAGAGAGAAGTTAAAAAGCGAATCGGATAGAGAATGAAATATACCGAGAATTTCATCTTCCCCACCCCCATCCCCCCCCCCCCCCCCCCCCCCCCGAGTCAGCAAAAATCGATGTCAAACCCCAGCGGTAATAAAGGGGTTAAGGGCCTTGTATTGACATAACCGGTCACCAGACACGTACGAAAAAATTCTATAATTGGTATGGAAAAATGGACGAGTTCTGCCAAGTGAACAGACCAGTAAATTCAGATATGATAAATTTGGGTATTTTAATAATAAATGATGTATAGAAAAAATGTCGCTGTAAAAACATATCACGTGAAGATTATGGTGATTACGACCTAAATATAATAATGTATGGGCTCGCGTCAGTTAACAGGCATTAACCATATTCAATGCAAGGTAATGACTTTATTTAATGCGCGTGTATATTTAAGTGCATGCAAATTAAATCCTATATCTCTGTGGTAGTTTGTTAGAAATTTTGTTTCCCATTTTCCCTCCTTCCTTTTTTTTTTTTTTTTTTTTTTTTTTTTTTTTTTTATTTTTTTTTTTTTTTTTTTTCTTTTTTTTTTTTTTTTTTTTTTTTTTTTTGCTGTTTTTTTACTAAATTATTTTTAATTATTCATGATAGTATATAATATATGCATTTCTTATTAGTGTGGTGTAGTTACTTGAATATGTATGAATGTAATTACTTGTTAAAATATATTCAGAAATAGAAGAAAAAAAACAACACAGAAGAAATCAATAATATATTATCTAAATCTACTGGAATAATTTAACCATTTTTTAAATATTATTTTTAAAAAAATGAAATCTTAATTAGTTTCAAAATTGAATCAATTACTTGATCGTCCAAAAACAATTTTAAAAATGTTCATCTCAATAAAATGTGTACCTAGGTATTGTAAGAGCGCGGAGCATGACAAAAAGTACTTTGAGTATGTTTTTATTTTTCTTTATCGTACTGTTGTATTTATTTTTCACAGAAATTAAAACCAATGAAACAATGAGCGCTGTCATTCCACCAATTATAACTGTACTCGTTATCGTCTTACTAGTGCTGATCTCCACAAGCCTGGTTCTGACTATCATATTAAAAAGAAGAGGTAATGCGATTCGTTTTTTAATTTGAGCTAGTTTTGTTTTTTTTCCCAACTGTTATAACATTTTCAGTTGCAATTATTTTTTTTTTGTAAGTATTTGTGACGCAATTAATTATTGCAAGTTCTTTTCTTTCATTCGCTTTTTCTTTATGCTCTTATATGAAACTTTCAAGAAAAAATCAAATGATGCTTAAATAGCATCCGTACAGTTAATTTAATGTTTCTCATTATGTAGTAAAATAATAAATAGTCGCTTAAGAAAGGCGGAAGGGATTTAGTCTGTATCATGGTTTTATGTTTTTTTTGTTTTCTGTCAAATAACAGCCAACCACGAAACCCGGAACGACAGTTCAGCCCCAGTGAACTCCCTGCACTACCAAAATGTTCCTGAAATGGTGCGTCCACGCCACGAATATGTCAATGTACATCAGAATGAATATGATTTATTGAATCCTCATGACACAGATCTGCATGTCTACACGAGGCTTCAAGCAGTACCTTGGGACCACGTGTACATGTCGGTTATCGATGACAACGATTCTAATGAAAATATAAACATGACATTACTTGGAACTGAGGGTGTCCCTATAAATAATAACAGTTGAAACGATATTAAATTAACTTCAATTCAAATCAGTTTTGAAAAGAATGCGTGGGAAATCAAGTGAAAACCATTTGGAGGACTTAATTAAACAGTTTCGTTATTTTGTTTTCTTTCTCTTTTGTTAATTTTTATAAGTATTTTAAAAAAAAAACAATTTGTTGTGTTTTTTGTTTTCTGTTTCATTTTAATATTTTCTTTCACTATTTTTATTTAAAGACTTTTACATATAATTAATCACTTCTTTTCTAAATATTACCAATGAACTTTTGATGTGGGACAGACATAGACGTAACTATGTATTGTGCTGTATAATAGTTGGTATGAGATATGAGGCATGTCAAATATTCAATAGGCTATGGTTTTAAATCTGCATAATTTTCTGATGTCTGTTTAATCGCAATATCGCGAACCTGTGTAAAACTAAATTGCAATGTATTATTTCAGAAAATAACATTTAACATACTAGACATGCTCATTTTGTAGTGATTAGTTCTAATAGGAACTATATATATATATATATATATTAAATGAATGTTTATAAATTTGTATTCTATAATTTAATAAACAAAACAAAAACAAATAGCTTCGGTTGTTGTTATTCTTTGTGTTGTTGTGAACTCTGTTGTAATGCTTTAGGTGTGAAGAAAGAGCAAGTTAGCTCTTGTTTTTTTTTGTTGTTAGTTCTTGTTTGTTTGTTTGTTTTTTTTATTTTTAAGTTTGTAGCTTTTTTGGTTATTATTAGTGACTCTTCCCCTAGGGTGACCAAACGTCCCGTAAAAACGGGATTGTCCCGTTTTTTTTAAAGTATCGGGACGGCTAAATGTCCCGTTTTGTTGAACCAAACATATTTTTAAATCAATAAAACTTCCTAATTTATAATATAATTTCAAGTAATCTTTTTGGCTAGATTGCCAGTAGTAATGGGGGCTCGGGTGATGGGTGCACTGTTCCCTCTCCTCCACAGTGTCCCTGCCATAGATCTTATATGTAAATGCATAGCGAAAAACACGAGACTTGAAGCGGGGGGGGGGGGGGGTTAGGGGGAGTGAGTATGTAACTTTGCAGAAACCAATTTTGATTCAGCTACCGCTACGTGTAATGTGTTGGTCTTGTATGTGTTATCCCTACCGGCCTGTTTGTGTCTGAGTGACAGGTGTTAGTTTGGGGTGTTGAAATTTATTCTTTAATTTGACATTATCTTCTCATGTAGACACTAATTATGCCCAAGTGTCAATGTAAGTTTATTTAGGGGTATTCCAAAATGTAGAAATATATTAAAAAGAGACGCAATGAAAGTGAAGCCGAGTGCACAGTTTGCAATAATGATTTTAGAATTGGTCATGGTGGACGTTCAGACATAAAACAACACATCACATCTGTGCAACATATGACATAGGCATTGGAGAAGACTGAATGCCCCAAGTAGATTTCTAGGTTAGATTTCATAGCTAAAATGAGCATAATTCACTAAACAGATTCCGGCTAAGGACCCCCGACCCCTCTTTCACTGAAGGGTATCCCCTACCCCCAAACCGTCAATGAAAATTTCCCGTTTTTTCCAGATCATGAATTGGTAACTCTACTCTATCCTTGCTGGTTTGTCTTTATTTGACAGAAATTGGGCCTTTTATATAACGTATTTTCTTTTTTTTTTTTTTTAAATAAATAAATGTCTTAATTTTAATGAGTTATTTTAACTTTTATTTTTTGATCCATGTTATGTTCATACGTTTAGATAGATGTAAATTATAATAATGAACCATAAAATGTATCGTTAAAAGACTGATTAAATTTATTTTATTTTATTTTTAAACTGACTACAAAATACGTGAACGTATTTTCTTTTTTTTTTTTTTTAAATAAATAAATGTCTTAATTTTAATGAGTTATTTTAACTTTTATTTCTTGATCCATGTTATGTTCATACGTTTAGATAGATGTAAATTATAATAATGAACCATAAAATGTATCGTTAAAAGACTGATTCAATTTATTTTATTTTATTTTTAAACTGACTACAAAATACGTGAGATTCATGTGTAGTTTTTTAATAAAAATAAAAACATCCTTATGCCGATTCCGGGTAAGGACCGAACAAGTCTAGGTTACTCAATCCTAAGCCATAAGAGAGGAAGCGATATTCTATTTCTCATATTTTAGATATTTTTTCAAAACAATTACATAGCCAGTGAGTTGTAATATTTTATTTTTTTACATATTTTAGAATATTTAAAACTCACCTATTTATGAAATAGTTTAATGCATATGTTTTATATCTTTTATTGTCGTAATGAAACACATATATACAGATTAATTAAGCTCACACAGTACTTGGGGAATTATTTCAAAACAATTTTTGAAGGATCTTCAATAAAATAGCAAGAGAAGGGTTGAATATCCTAGAAGCACCATTTTTAGTTCAGATACAATTTCTTCAACATAATCGAATACTAAATCAAAGGAGACCAAGGTTATCTAACTTATAAACGAATGGAAATAAACATAATATTTATTATAAAGCATTTTAAAAAAAAAATTTAAATAATATAAAACAAATTACAAATGTGCATATTAACCGTAAAATGCCGTTTTTTTACATACAAAAATTGTCTCCACTTTGTGTTTGTTTGGTTATTTCTTTGTTCGGTGGTTTGCGTTATTATTATTATTATTTTTAAATGACGCTGAATTGTCTTCTCGTAGAGAAGAAATTTTCCCAATTTTGGTATTATATTTCTCTTTCTTATTTTTTGTGTAAAATCTTTTTTTTTCTCTTTGAACTTTTTATCTTAACTTTTCCAACTCTTTAAGTGTTGGGTCACCGTTATCAACATAATTTTTGAACATAATTTCCTTAATCAAAAAACAGGGCCTACTTACTATTTATTTTTTTTAAATATAGGAATTTTCCAATGAATTTTCCAATATAACTACTTTTCCTCTAACTTGGATTGCAAGTTTCAAAATAGATCTTTTAATATTTTGTAAAATGTATAATAGTGAAGTTTCCTTAGGGTTACGTGAAATAAAATGAAGCAGACTTAGTATTATGATAGAACCATATTTAATCAGAAATAAATCTTAATTATGTTAATTTAAATTATAAATAAATCAATCAAAAACTGGTATTAGTTTATTTGGTCATGAATATTATTTAAAAAAAAAAAAAAAATCATTGTTGGAGATTAAAAAATTGGTCATGCTACAAATCAAACATAAAAATTTGTTACAAATGTTGGGAAGTTATTTACATCTTTAGATAGGATCCAACTTTGAATTTTATATACATGTGTATTAACATAGTATTTATCTACATAAGTTAAAATATGTGTGGGCATTATTTACATTGAATTAGATTGCACAGTTCTGAAGTTAAACTCTGAAATGAAACAAGTACGAAAACAGCAGCACCAGCTCCTGAATTTGTTAAACATGTTTGAAACAAGAGAGTACGTAGGCGTATGTTGTTTAACATTTGTTAGGTTTTGTTCAAAGAAACATGTTGAAATACTCTTTAAAAATAATATTAAAATGTTAACACACCACCTACGAATTGGTAATAACTAATTACAAAAGCAGCTTATAGTCTGTTTCACAAATAAACATGTATTTAATAGTAACAGAAATATCATATATTTAACAACATTTTTATTAGAAATAACAATGCACAAATGCTTGTAAATGGCTCAACAAACAAATAATATGTTAATTTAAAAAAATAATTAAAGAACATGATTGCAAAAACCAACTAAACATGTTATAAAGACTCAAAGTGTCTCAATTATTTGACATTTAAATGCAACCCTCTGTAAAGCTTCTGTGACATTTAAGAGATGACCACATGATGATTGTAGTGTATAAAAAAAATACAAAAGTATAATGAGAGAATAATGCCCTCCACGTAATATTTGTTTGTTTGTTTTATTATTATTATTTGGCTATAAAGATGTACTTCTAGAGAAATCTTCCAACCGAATCCGTCTTGACGGTGAAGTGTGTTCTGGTAGAGATGACACTTTCTCCACTTGTGCCTCAACTTTCTCTTTCTTCTTTTGTGAATCTTTTTTTCTCTTCGAACTTTTTTTCTCCATTTTTTCCATCTCTTGAAATGTCAGCCTGCCCGTCTTACTGTAGTCCAGTGTGGCGTAGACGACTTCATCTTTAGGCTTGTTGTGCCTGGGGCTTGATAAGGACACTGGGCCGTCACGTGGAGCGAGCGTGACGTATATAAGTCCGTTACTGTCACGATCGGACTAGAAAAACCACAGGCAAAATAATAATAGAATAAAAGTCACATATTATATGATACATAACCAATATGGATTTAAATTTTACTTTTTAAAGTATTTATTTGTTTTTAGCACAGTAACAGTTCACTTATTAAAAATTGATTTTAAAATAATTACAATTATTTCTAAATGCATTGGACAGCTGAAAAATAGCAAAATCTTCAAATGCGTATGTTTTTATATAAACAAATTAATTACACCTACTAAAACTATATTTAAGTTTTAAAATGTTTTTTACAATATTCCATTTTGAAATTATTTGTATAACATATTCTTTAAACTCCTTTTGTCGAAGACCTTAAATCATTTGTTGAAATAAGTAATGGTATAAACATGTATTTTTTTATTGAATATATGATAAAATAACTAAAAGCAAAATAGGAATAATTATGATTGTTTGTTTTTTTTTATTCATAAAATAATAATGTTTATTTTAAAAGTAACAAATAAATAAGTACACTCTTAAAATAAATATTAGACAGAGTAAAAAAAAAAAAAAACCTAAAAATTCCTTTTAATCAAAATTTAAAAAAAATAAATAAAAGAATAAATCAAAACAAACTACAAATATCTAAAATTGTTTGTTTTTTTTTATTCATAAAATAATAATGTTTATTTTAAAAGTAACAAATAAATAAGTACACTCTTAAAATAAATATTAGACAGAGTAAAAAAAAAAAAACCTAGATATTCCTTTTAATCAAAATTTAAAAAAAATAAATAAATGAATAATTCAAAACAAACTTCAAATTTCTAAATGCTTCCTATTTTCTTTTTAAAATTGATTCAAG